TATCTGCCCATGATACAATTCAGGCAACTTTCAATGGTACCTATTACTTTTTTGAATTAGGGGACAGGAGCACTGGGTATCATAGGGATATAGATAATAACTTATTTCATATCTTAGAATGATCTCCCTGGAGTTTCATGTAGATGTTTCAAAGCTTCAATAGCTTACAGACTCAGGTCAAGGCTTCTGTAGCATCCTTGGCAGTACATAGCTGAGTATCATAATTGTATGGATAGTATTGTAGCTGAAAGTGACTGATGACTTCTCTCAGTGGTCTCATATGGATATTAAAAATAGGGAAAAGAAAATCAACACCTCTGGGCTTCCACATGGAAGCGCCATGCCAACCCTCATTGGAATTGTTTACTCAGGGAATGGCAGAGACATTTTAAACAATGCTTCCAGTCCACAACCCTTGCAGTCAATGCAAAAATATACCAAGATGATTGGCATCAGAAGCTATTAAGACATCAAATCAAACCAAACCTCAACAAATCAAAACGACAAACATCTCAATCCCATGCCTGAGCCTGAATTCTGACTGCACATGCTTAAAATCTACCTCTAAGATATTTTGTAGCTGCAGTTACCCCACTTTCTCACTGACCATCCCCTAAAAAATGAGAAGTTGGAGGGAAGATCCAAAGAGCTGGCTCTTGAAAGGACTTTATTTGTTTCTGTTAATAGCACAGCCAGCAAGATTTTTAAAAAATGCAAATTGTCAATAGCAAAGGTCCATTACAGCTGTAGGTTAATTTGGCAAGTAAGACATTTATTGCATTTAGATAACAAGTAGTGCTAAAATGTAAAGCCATGGGGGGGGGGGGGAATCCAGAAAACTTTTAAAGTGGTTTCCCCCCCCCCTTGTTTAAGTGATATAAATGTAATAGTTAAGGAAAGGTTCATATATCACTACTTACCCTTTATTCATTACAATTAATCTGTGTAAAATTCTATTACACGGAGGATAAGCAATATAATATAGCATTCCTTTCTTCAGGATACATTTACATTCATTTTTGTAAAGAAAACAAAACAAAAAGACATAGCTCTGCTTCAGACATGGTCTTGTTTGCTTTCATTGATGCAAAGAACCAATTGTTGAGTAAATACTAGAAGCAGCATTTAGACCTATTTATCTCTGTGTCTCTCATTCTAAAATATCTAAGCACTGCTGAAATCCAATTTCCACCCCCCCCAAAGATCTGTTTCCTTGCGGGTAGAATGGGATGACGGTTTTTCCACGGCTTCAATTTTCCCAAAGGATTAAGTCTTGAATTTTTCAATCAGTCTATCATTATGTCTATCATTCATAAAATATCAGTTCAGTACTACTTGGTTTTATGAAATGCAGTGAATATGATTTTAAGACATAATCTGAGGCATTGCTTATTTCTTCTTTGTTAGCAGAAATTCTGTTTATCAGAAGGAAGGACTCTTATCAAGTCCTTCATTATTATGAAAGCTATAGAGTGAAAACTTAAACTTGATGCCTTCGTTGTCTATTTTAAACAAGTGAACTGGCCAAGATTTTCTAACAACATATTTTATTTTTTTTCAGGAATGTTCAGAAGGAGGATCGTGGACCGTTGCTTGATGAGTATCGCGAGTACAAGAAAGTTAAAGCTAAACTCCGTCTTCTTGAAGTCCTTATCAGCAAACAAGATCCATCAAAATAAATTATGTTTCTTCGTAACAATGAACAGTTGTTGTCAGTTAGGGGTATTCTTTTGTCTTGCTTTGTTGAAAGAATGCAATTTTTGTACACTTTAGAAGGACGGGTAGGTCCTATCTAGAAAGTTAATGAAAAAAAAAATTAAATTGCAACTCAATCTGTCCAACTTTAAGGGTGTTTTTTTTTCTCCTCATTTTAAAAAGTTACAGTGTGTCTCGTTCTCAAAAGACTTTATTCCAGAATCATTCAGAAATGTTGGACCTGCTAACTTCGCTTCATCTGCATTTATTAGTATTACACTGAACTCCTCTGTTGCCTTTTTAGTATGGAAAATAATGGCAGCCAATTAAGAATACTCCAGAACACCAAAAAGGAACTGCAATGCCTTTCAAAGGACTGTGTGGCATAACTGATTGCAAATGGCATCCTTCATATAGTAGAATGATCAATGGATACTGAAATATAAAGTACATTTTCCGGTTTCAGATGACAATGGACAAACCAGAAAGTGACCTTGCTTGTTGTATTTTTAAAACTTGGAAAAACCTGAACATTTATATCACATATTGCCTACAAGACTTACATTACTGTTAATTTCTATTTATTGTCTACCGGTGACTGTGTAGTCTGAATTGGAGACTGCATCTTACCCTTGTGTTGGTGCTCAGATTCATTCAGTTCAGTAAGCTTACACCACTTTTGCTGTATCTGAAACAAACTTATTTTACCAAGGGCTACAATTAGTGTAATTATGTATTGAACAAGCTGGACAGAACTAGCTTTGAAAGAAACCTTTCCACTTCCATTCACAGAAATGGAAAGAGAAGTGATCTGCCTCAAATAGGTATCACACAATTTTTGCATGTCAAAGCTTCAGAACCAAGAGGGTTTTTTTAACTGATGTTTTCTTTGCCTAGTATGTATAACACAACAGCAGCCGATTTTTTTTTTTAAAAAAAAACCTGCACTCCAAATTCCTTCTAAATGACTTTAGTAGCTACGTATGAGATACAGTACAGAGGAAAAGGGCTTATATGGAATCCTTTGCACATAGGCCCTGCTTCTGTGGTTTGACTGGATTAAATCTTAAGTGTTGAATATCTTCCGGATCTATTTTGTCTTGTGGCCATGTTTTTGCATGTGCCTATTTGCTGCATGTGTTATGAACAGCTAATGCCAACACAAATTTTTTCATTGCTTTTCTGAAAGACCAGAAAATGAACTTCAGTGAAATAGTGGCATGTAAACACATCAGATTGATGTGTTAACATGTAATAGGTAGAAAATAGATTTTAGAGACTCCATACTTCTATTGGTTGTGTTTCTTGTTTTTTATTGTAATTCTAGGCATGTAATTTTGGAACTCAAAAGTGACAATTAAAATGAATTTATACTCTAATGTTTTGCCTTTTTATACAGCCTGAAGAGTTTAAGTGGACTGTAGTGAATTACAAGATCGGGAAATAATCTGGAGATTTTCCGTAGCTTTTGTTCAACTTCATCGTGCAATGTACATTTCAATTACTTTCCCATCAATCTGCAATCACTGGTGCATCTAACATCAAAACCTATGTGTACTGTATAGTGTTGTACATGTTTTATATACCACATGCAAAATGTCAATATGCACTATTTAAATGTTTGTTTTAAATAATATATTCCTCCTTTATAATGCTTAAATCTATATGATCCCAATATTTTTATAAAGAGTGATCAAATTGGTTCAACTTCAGAATCAACAGCTGCTTTTGTGTGTGCTTTGCAGTGTTTGGCTGTTTGTAGCAAGCATGGCATCAGTTATGCTAAGAGTGTGTGTTGTGCCATCTTATTGAGCAATAAATGGTAGAATTAGGCATTTTGTGATAACACAGTTTTACTTTCGTATAAGTAAAAACTATATGTGGATATATAGATATAAATATATATATATATAAATAAACCAGATATGAATGATTGCCATGTCTGGCATTTCATTGTATAGATTTTTATAATAAAAAAACTATTGTCATATTTATATTTGTGTTTTGTGTCTCTGTGTGCATGCACTTGTGTTTGCATTTTTGCCTCTAAATCTTAGTAAGTGTAATTCTTAAGAGTTGCTAGGATTTAAAAAAAGGTTTGAGTCTAATTCTCTTGTGGTTTATCCACAGTGGTTTATCCAAACTGATAATAATTAAAAGCTGATTAGAAATTAACTTGAATTTTTCTTTTTATAAGTCACTTTGAAGATGTTATAGAAAAGTGGCCTATAAATGTACCTTATAAACTTTTCTTTTTATGCTTGTTCTTTAGAAAATGCACCCTTTTTATGTTGTGCTAGCTGTAGGGCAAAAACCTCTCACTATATCCAATATATTTGATATGCAGCACTTAAATTTGCTGGAGAATTAGATTTTGCTGCATGACCTTGTCTTTAAGCAAAAGCAAGCATGTTTCTGTCATTTATAACAGACATAAAAATTTGCCCATGGTTACTTTCCATTTCAAAGACCAATCCTGCAATATTTTATATTTTTTGTATATTTCAAAACATGAAGTAACTATGGACATGGCTGACATACATGTACAACTAATATTAAAGACCAACAGACGAAGACCTCGTATAATTTGTACCTAATTCAAAGTGTGTTCGCATAAAACAAACAATGTAGTTTCCCCACACACCCGTCTCTTGTATCTGCAATTGCAATTGGGATGAACTTTTGTGACTAAGGAAAGGAATCTTAATTCCTTTTAAACCCCTAGAATTATGTTTGCACATAAAATGTTCTGTAAAAAAAAAACCCAGCGTGTTTAAAAGTTCAGAGATGAATTTCTGAATTTCAGCTGTTAAGTACTCCTTGGACCTCCCCACGTTTTTCATTACTGGATGGAAGAAAAATCCTATATGTTGTTAAGGGTAAATGACGCCAACCTGAGCTGAGGGGAACAGCGAGATGAAATACGTTTAAGAGCCGCCTTTGATAGCAAAATACAGAAAATATAGTTACTAATTATAAATACAGTATTTCTGCTGCTAAAAAAAAGTTTGCTGTTACCATTGGTATTTTTAATTTTAGCAAATATTCTCCAAATCATTTGCCTTTTAATATTTACAACACACCACTGCAGGAATGTACCATTTATGGCACTGGGCCAGTGAATTAATCTAGCAAACTTTTTTTTTTAAACAACAGAGCTGAAATGGAAAAGCCCTGGGAAAACAGGACTACTCAAAGACAGATGTGCATCTCTCTCCCCCTCCCCCCTCTCCCATGCCTGTTAATGCACACCTTAGCTTCTCACTGTACCAGGGGCCAGTGGTAAAACAAATCCTCACCTCTTGCTAGTTCCTCTGTTGGTACTGAGCTGGAGGGAGAGTTCTCATAATTGTGTCCAGCTTATAATTCACATCCTTCAGTTGTCTCTCCAAATCTTCGGCATATCTAGAAAGTCTAAAACAAAATAACAAAGGAGATTGAGGGGGTTCTGGAATTTTTGCCTTTGTGAAGCTGATAGCAGAAGAAAACTAACCAGAAGAAAACTGGTTAGTCACTTAGCACTCTAATAGTATATACCGATTCAGATACAAATTCGAATTGTGTAAATTTCATTGAATTCAATGAAATTTCCAGATTAATAGGCATAGAACTGCAGCCTAAATCATTTTTTCCCCAAATAATGTAAAGATTATTTAAGTGGACTCTTTTTTTTTTTTGGTATTCATTAGGACTATTCGTTCATTTTGTATTCATTAGGACTACCAATATTTGTATAAGCTTACTCTTAACTGAGCACTTTTTTTTTACATTTACAACCAACATCCATTTTCTTTAGAACCCAAAATAATGCCTCAATTGAATTTTCTAATAACTTAAATCAAAGGAGGACAACACAGGGCCTAAAATAGTTAGCATTAACAATTGCTAATTGCAATATTATGACCATACAATTAAAAGCTAGATCCCTAAATTTGCATTTAGTAGGTAACATGTTCGAGAGCCACACTGAAAACACTGATGCAATGTGGGCAGAGCCAAGATTTGTTGATATTTCAGTTTGGGAGTTTTATTTGATAAAATATATTACAATTGCATCAGGAATTATATATTTTGTCTGAAGATTCCACTTTAAATGTGGAACCTCAAATTGGGGACCTCAAGTTGTTCTCCTGTGGTCTAAAAGGTGAATCCCAGGTCTTCTGTAAAGGCTGAAGCCTATTGAGGTTATGATGTAAACAGCAACATACCTCTGAAAGTCTCTCGCAGAAACTGTGTCATACTGTCCTGTGGAAATCTGCCTCCTCATGAGATCCTGCACAGAAAATTGGTCAGTATGATTGACAGGATTCTAAAAGAAACGTGTCATTATCTCTAGGATTGGCAGATTTTATTCATTTGTTTGTTTATCAAATTTGTATGGTTGCTATCTCACAGAAAGTGACTTTGGGCGATGTACAACAATCCAAATAAACACTAAATATAAAACAATATTAAAAAAATCCATTACGTAAAAAAAACTATTATACTTATTTAAAAACATTAAAAACAATAAAAGCAGAACTAAACAAGAGAAGAAAAACAATAGATGGAGGAATGTCAATAATAACGGGGTTGCTAGGCCTGCCTGCTGGCATAACCAGATCCTGAGGGAATTGGAAAGCTCAGGAGTGATGAGGCTGACCCCATCTCTTGGGAGGGGGGGGGAGGAGAAGATTCCTCCATACAGACATCATAGCAGAAAAGGCCCGCCATGTAGTGCCTGCCAAATGTAGCTCTCTAGTCTAGCTGACAGAATATGCCTATTCTACTAGATCTGGTGGGAGAGGCAGATAAAGTTTGGAAGAAGGTGTCCCTCAAATATCCTGGTCCCGTGCCATGTAAGTGTTTATAGATTAACACCAGCACCTTAAATTGGACCCAGAAACAAACTGGTTTAACTAATGCATGTTGTGTAGCAGAGGCATAATGTAAGCTCCCAGGAACATTCCCTAACTGCTTGCACCACTGCACTTTGCACCACCTGAAGTTTCCAGATACTCTTCAACAGCAGCCCCATGTACAGCACATTGCAATAATCCAAACTATATGTCCAGACGAACAGAACACGAGTGACCCTGAGTGGCCCCCTTGATGGAGGAACGAGTGCAACTGGGGCACAATACGAAGTTGTGCAAAGGTCTTCCTAGCCGTGACTGCCACTTGCTCCTTGAGCAGGAGTCCCAAAGGTGCTTTTTCAAAATGCAATTGGATTTTGAACATGTTTCGCTTCTCACCCAAGAGCTTCTTGAGTTCTGACCGAATGGTGTGGAATTCAGAACTAAAGATGCTTCTTGGATGACAAGTGAAACATCTTCAAGAGAAAAAAAACAAAAGAAAAGCCAGTTGCCTTTTGAAAAAGCACCTTTGGGACAACCATGACCTGGATGACTGAGACTCTCCATAGACTTTGAGCAGAAGTTGTGAGTTTAAGAGGGCCTGTAGAAAAATATATGCTCGACCACTTCTCAGAGGACAAGTGGGCCAGTTGATATGCAAAATAAATGTATATACATTGATAAAACATTAAAGGGTAAGGAAGAGTACTTTGGGTTCCAGTATCTGTCCCTAGCAAAGGCAGCAGCCATTTTTAATAAAGAACATTAAATTCCTACACAAAATAGCTGAGAAACAATTCATGAAGTTGAATCTCTTCTATAAATGGAAGATGGAAACTTTTATTCTAACATACCGTATTTTTCCGTGTATGAGACGCTATTTCTTCCTGCAAACACCCTGTTCAAAAATCAGGTGCATCTTATACAAGTGCAGCATCTTATACATGAAAAAATAATGGTAACCTCCACAGCCCAGTGCATGCCTGTGTGGGTTCTTTACATGTTGCTGCCATGCAGCCTGGCGCAGGTGTCAAGCCCGTGAGCTTGCCACTAACAGGAGGGGGAGGGGCAAGATCGTCGGATGGCGGCGTCCGGAGGCAGCGGATGGGACCAGCAGCATGGAGAGCAGTGACAGCCCTTTCCCTCCCTCGTACCTATATGCTGGCCGAAGACCCTGTGGAACGCAGCTGCGAGGCCATTCTGCTCGATAATAGCGGCCGGCCGAACAGCTGATCGGCGTGGAGAAACGGCGGGGAGTTTAAAACCTGCCTTCGCTTCCCTTGCCTTGCTATCATGCCGGTGCTCACGCCGGTTTGTTTACCAGGGTCGGAAGGCTGCTGCTGTGAACTGACTATGCATGCTCATCGTGCCGGATGCTGGTTAGGTGGGTGGGGCCGGCTGGGAGAGTCTATTTAGAGCGCTGGGAGGCGGTTGCTCCCAGCGCTGACTTTGTTTGCTGTAAGCTTGGAACTTGCATGCCAGAGCGTCTTATACAAGGGTGCGTCTTATACACAGAAAAACACGGTAGGTTAATCAACACAGTGGAGACAACCTCGAATGGCCTATGACCCGACAACCAGAGTACGGTTCTTGTTAAAATATTGTGGTATTGTTTGCATTTCTATTTTATAATCCCTCCCCCTACTTGTTTATGTGTATGCATGTATTACATATGTATTTATTCTCAGATACATGCATAAAATCAGATGAAAGTTTATGCAAAATAAAGTTGGTAAGTATTTAAGTACCACAAATCTTTCTTTGTGCTGCCTCATAATAATACAAACCACTGAAAATAATTATCTCTATCCTTTTTTTTTTTTTTTGTCAAGTGGAAAGAAGCATACGACACTTACCTTGTCGCCAATTTTGGAGACATCCCTACTTGTATCCAGTCTAGAGATGGTCATGCAAAGGAGGAATAAAACCCAAGAATTTATTTAGGTACGACATTTTAATACCCACATACTACAAAAAAAAGGAGAGAGGTCCTGATGAAATTAATCTAAATGGAGAGAGTGGATATGCTTGTTTCTACTGCAGTGTTTCTCAACCTTGACAATTTTAAGGCATGTGGACTTCAACTCCCAGAATTCCACAGCCAGCATTGCTGGCTGTGGAATTCTGGGAGTTGAAGTCCACATGCCTTAAAATTGTCAAGGTTGAGAAACACTGTTCTACTGGATAGGACTGATCATAGGCTACATTATACATAGTCAAAAAAAGCCTGCCTCTTGTTGTTTGCTGTATCTTTTTTCCCTGGGGGGTTCATCACTCCTGCTGTTTTGTCAAAATGAGAAAGCTCCACTGCATCATTGCAAAAGAAGCTCAGGCCCTTTCTGGATGTGAATGCAGTGGGACATTGCTTTCATCAGACTGATGGTTTGACCTTCCTGGCAGCTGCCGCCGCCTTTCTGTCTCACAGGGACATCTATTTCAAGTTGCTATGATGCCATTGGCTGTAACATTTTCCATCCCTATAGTCAGCAACCAAGGCAGTAGAGACCGTGGGTGTAAATGAGGATAGCAAAATATTAAATACGAACAACAAAGATTGACCTCTTCCATCATAGCACAGTACCCATCCAGCTTGCTCTCCAAGAGTAATTGTGTAGTCCTTTGTTTCAGACATTGACTGGCTTGGGTTTTTGGGTTGTTTTTAATCGGCAAAGAAAACCCAAGCACCATGAACTTAAGAGGACTTATAAATACGTAAATGTGCCGTGCGTGGATTTAAAATAGCATCTGTCACATTTCGTTCTATCATTCGCTGTTATTGTTATTATTATTCAATTTGTATCACATTTATTCCATTCACAGGTCTTATAGCTAACACAGCAGAAATACGATATAAATCTAAAAAAAAAAAACTGGTCATTTGAATTACATTTAGAAACATATCAAAAACCAAGGGAGGGCCCACAGAAAAGATGAAATAATGATCAGGATGGCAACTTTTGGTCAACAAGTGAGCCACTGCATTTTGGACTAACTGAAAGGTTTTGTGTGGTCTTCACTAGCAGCCCCCGTAGAGCTTATTATAGAAATTCAGACAAATTGTGTTAATGAGGAGTTACTGAATTCAGGTCTTGGGTTCCAAGAAAAGCTGCAATTGGCATACAAAACAAAGCTGGGAAATGTCTTGCTTGGCCATTAGGTAGTAGCTATGTGTATAAAAGGACACCCAAGTTGCGCTCCTGTTATCTCAAGCACAGTTATACCTTGGTGAGAGACAACCCTGGAGCTGGAGGGGAACCATGATGTGCAAACAGCAACTTTATATTGCTAAGGAACAATTTCAACTTGTTTCAACCCACTGGGTTTCTCTCAGTTTCCAGATGCCTGGGGAAATGTGCGTGGCTTCTTTGGCTGAGCCCAGGATTGCAATATAAAGCTGAAAATTGACAGCATATTGACATAATTATATTGTAAACTACCAAATGACCTTTTCCAACAGTTTCATATAGATGTTGAAGCACCAATATATGGAGTACTTCATAAGGAGACAGCTGATCATTCTTACCTCACCAGGTGAGGTAGTACAGCAGCTCAGATTCTCAAATGAGACTTATGACTGAATAAATTAATTACTAAGGCATGGGAGGAGGTAGGGGATGAGCAAGCGGTCTCGGGTCCATATATTGTGCAATGCCATAATGTGGGATGACTTAGGTTATTTTTCCACTAGCAATTCACAAAGTCTTCTGTCTTGATAGGACTATAGCAATGGTTAGGATGACACTATAAAGACTCTTTATGCCACAAGCAACAGAAGACCCTTAGTTGGATTAGGTCAATGTTCTCATTTTAAGAAGCTAAATTTGAAATTATGGTTTGGAGAGATTCATAGTTTGCAGCTGTGGTTTAGTGTGATGTTTGATAGAAACCCATGGCTCCTTTGTGGTTTCCTATCTTGGACCTAGGTAGGCAGGCTTTGCAACTATTTCCAACTTTGAAATACTCAGAACAGGTAAAGGACCCAGTCCTAACTGGCTATCAACAGTGGGAAATGGGAATGGCCCATAATAAAATGATAAGGTGGCTCCTTCTTACCTGCTGTGATCCAAAATCCCATATAATCTTTACTTCCAATAGTAGTATTGATCTTGTGATTATACAGGCACGTTTAGAAAACAAGACAGTGGGTGGCTATTGGCCAGTATTTTATTTCAAAAAGCTCCCACCTGCTCAGAAACACAACAGGAATAAGCTGAAATAAGAGGGACCTTCTGGAAGGCTGGAGAGAAGCAATCACATTGGTTTGCTGATAAATGAGTGTTTCATAGTAGTCTGGAAGCATCTTGAGAGCTTTTTGTGGGAGATGACTTTGGAAATCCCAACCTGCCTTATTGGCCTTTAAAAGCTTGATTCTCTGACTTAGCTGCACATCAGAATGCCTCCTCATCTATCCTGAAGGGTCTTGCTCAGTGGAACAAAAATATTGGTATCCATCACTCTTTAGGATCATATGTATGAATAAGAAAATTAGCTGGAAAATTAAACTAAAGTGGCAGTATGCCTGAAATTTGATACCCACTTTTTCAAATATACATCTTCTGTCTCTGATGCCTTTCTTTTCAGTTTGAGTTTGACTAAAGCTTTATTGTAACCCTAAACAAAAGAAATAAATAGGATTGTTAAATGGAACTAGTTGTGATATCATAGTTGTGATATGTACAGGCTTCATGTGGGGGAATGTAGGAAACACCAGTCAAGCTTAATTTGATTAAAGGGTACAAAATGGTTTTAGCATGCACCAAATTCTGCAATGAAAAAACAACAGTATCCTTTTGTACTGAAAATATAACATATTGCAGGTTACTCCATCTGGTAAAGATTGAAATATACTTGTAAAGTAGATGGAGTTAAACAAAATCCCAGCAAAATTAGTATTACTGAAGATAGAAATTAAGTTTTGGTTATACTGTATATATGGTAAGAATGGCCAAAACAACAACAACTGAGTAACATTAGCACATGGGTGAGTAATTTCTAAACAGTTTACAGGTGGAAGATCATCTGCTGAGTTACACAAAAAGCCAAGGCAGCATTTATGATTATAAGCACAAAAAGCAAATCTCCAATTTAGAATAATACCACTCCTTCTTTAACTTTTCGTTGTTTACTACTCATTCTGTTGAACAGTTCAGGAGAACATAAATGATAACATACTATAATATAGCCTTTGCGCTGGCCATTTAAAATAATTTGCACAGATTAAGTAAATTACTTTAGGATTAATTGGGGTTGGAATGGGGAAAAAAGTTTTCAATAACACAAAGCTAAACAAGTAAAAGTGATATGAAATATGACACAAAACAATTACATTACAGGTAGTTCTTGAGTTACAACCGTAACTGAGCCTATAATTTCAATCATAAGTTGTGATGGTTATTAAGCAGGTGATCACATAATTGCCCCATTGTACAACTTTTTCTGGAGTTGTTAAGCAAATGTAACATTAAGTAAGCCTATTGCTCGCTATTGGGCGTTTTTTAGCAGAAATCAGAAGTAAACAATTCACTGGAACGAGCTACCCCCCGAGATCCGGACAATCCCGGATCTCCTAACCTTCCGCCGCGCCCTCAAGACATGGCTTTTTCAGCAAGCGGGACTGACCTAGGGTGAATTTTAAATAGGGATAATTTTTAATGATTTTAATAATGTCACAGACTACAAATATTTGGTTTTAATTGGCTTTTATAGGGGAAATGTAGTGTTGTGTTGTTGGTGTTGTGTTATTTTAATATGCTGTGAGCCGCCCTGAGTCCCGTGGGGAGAAGGGCGGCATATAAATTATGAAAAATAAATAAATAAATAAATAAGTGTTGTGGTTAAGAAAGGAACCCACAACACTTCAGTTTCCAGCAAAAAATGTGGTCACGTGACTAGAACACTGCAAATGATTGTCGATCAGAATTTCAAATCCAGGTCATCAGAACTTTAAATCCAGGTCATAAATAGGTCCAGGTCATCGTAATTCTGACTGATTGCTAAGTTGTAAGTTGAGGACTACCTGTAATTATATAAAACCTTCATTTGGTGTCATAATTTCTCTGGGGAAAATATTCCACAAGTAGGATATCACTAACAAAGGGATCCATTCTTAACCACAACATTTCAGTTGACAGTGATTTGAAAATAGGACCTCTGAAGGAAATCTCAGTGTTCAGATAAATTAAAGGTAGAAGGTAGCATTTTGTAAAATTTTATAATTGAGGACTGGTATTTTGAAACTGGACCTGGAAGCGACCTAAGAGCTGAGGCAACTGAGAAAACACAAGTTTTGTTTGAAACATGCAGTTCTATTTAAAGATTTAGCAATTCTATTCTGGACCAACTGAAGTTTTCTTATCCGCGTTACAGGTAATTTGCACACAATAGGTATTTTGCAGTGAGGAAAACAGACGATTACCAATGCACAGTTAACTACTGTCACTTTTTCCCCAGTCAGATAAGCTTAAAGTTGGCATATGGGAAAGATGCTTTAAGCCACAAGAATCAGTTGAGTCTCTAATAAATCTGAAATCTTGAGGGGAATGTGAGTCCCATCTACAGCAAACTCATCACCCTACATTTAGGTGGCTAAATTGGGCCTTGAGAATACCACTGAATTATCTAGTTTGAGTCTCCATTCTCATCCAAAGTGATGCTGATCCTGGACGGTCCCAGCATCTCTGAGAATGAAAAAGAAAGTAGGTCAGGCATGTCAAACTGCCGGCCCACGGGCCAGATGTGTCATGCTGAAACCACGCCCATCCCATTGCCAGCAATGGAGAAAAAGTCGCGATATGTCACGCGACATCACATGATGTCGTAAGTTTGACATGCCTGAAGTAGGTGGAGCTTCAGAGCAACACTCTGGATGATCTCTCTTAGCACTTTCATAAAGAAGCTAGACAACACATGAGAAAGAACAAAACCTCCTGGAATTCAAAAGCAACAACTATTTTGCAGTAACTATCCAGAAATAGAACTACTGTTAGAAAATGTCTCTCCCACACAATGGGAAGAGTTTCTAGAGAATTGCCTGGATTGTGATCCTACTGACTTTCTCTATAGAAACGTAACTCCACAGGATGACCAAGCAAGTGTTTGTATGCTTTTTGCATGTTCATTTCTATATGAAAAATACTACAATATCATAAATCATGGTAAAAAAAGTTTAAATATGCCTTCAGATCAGAATATGGGCAACGTTATCCCAAGATAGAGAATTTTGGCTTATATGGGAATCTACTCTAAGGTCCTGGGAATCGAAATGCAATTTTACTTTATTTCACAGACAGCAACAAAACATCCCTCCTTTTATTCTGTAAAGTATCAATGAAGCAGCAACAGTCTATTCATTGCTATTCATGTGCTCTGAAAAACAATTCAAGAAATACAATTTCTTGTGATGCACTTTTTAAATAAAACATTGAGAAAAAACAAGTTATCAGTAGCATTTAACTATTCCTTGAACTAAAAATTACAAGGTTGCCAGAATATAAATGCGCAGGGCATGGTTTAAGTTCTTACCTGTTTTATAAGGTCGCTGATCTCAAACTCTCTGCTTGGAATTACTGAAAAGTCAGCTTTCACTTCAGAGTATGTGTCATTGATGATCGCCAAGAACATGTTCTACATGGGGGGAAAACAGGAAAACGTAATGTGAACAAGTAATGCATAAATATGCAAGAATCTCAAAGATGTTCCAAAGCAAAGCATATCGATTCCAGGATAATCAATAATAGAGAGCAGTGCAACTTTTTTTTTAAAATAGAGCATTCATATCAGATTATATCATGCTTATAGTAACCTAGCTCAGTGTTTCTCAACCTTGGCAACTTTAAGATGTGTGGATTTCAACTTCCAGAATTCCACAGCCAGCATAGCTGTGCCCGCAAGGCGCGCATGAATTCTGGAAGTTGAAGTCCACACATCTTAAAGTTGTCAAGGTTGAGAAACACAGGCCTAGCTGAATAGATTTTCTTACTGCACAGGCACCAAAAGGAGTGAATCTTGTTGGTTGGCATTCCTGATTGTTATTTATCATTTACCCAGTAAGAATACTTTTCTTGATAACCTGATGAGGATTCGGACCTCAGTCTGAAATCTGACCTTATCCAAGAAGTTCAAAGCAAGCTTCCCAACCAAGTTTACTCATTTGATTTTGCCCAAGCCTGTCACTCTGAATGAAAGCAAGAATATTTCAGTGGTGGGTATGGGACAGGGGTAGGCAACCTTGGCTCTTTTATGACTCGTGGACTTCTACTCCCAGAATTCCTGAGCCAGCATGGCTGGCTCAGGAATTCTGGGAGTTGAAGTCCACGAGTCATAAAAGAGCCAAGGTTGCCTATCCCTGGAATAGAGTTTTGCACAGTACACCAGTTGTTGCTGAATAACTAGTGGGGTTATCCAGAGCTAATTTATCCTCTTCTTTTTTAAATCTCAGTAAATTACAGCAATAAAAATGTATTTAAAAACTCACAGAATCTCATCCATCTGCTTACAAGGCAGCACAAAAGGTAATATCCTGTTTTTAATATTTCCAATTGTGACACAGCTGATTCCTTCAAACAGACTATGTGAGGTTCACAAGACTTTTCCTTTTAAATTCTCAAGTCAACAGTCATAGGAACGAAGTCTTAAATCCTGAACAGTTTAATTCACTTGGAATGAGGTAGGTTGATTTTACTTTGATTTTCTCATCTTCTTAGGTCTCAGTAGAAATCATGAACAGCATTTTTATTCATGCCTACTTTCCCATGAACTGCCCCTATCGATAACCCCAAGATTAATGTGAGAAAATTAGTGGAGTTAATTAGTTAAAAACAAAAACCCAATCTCCCATATTCTCATCCAATATTCTAATTTCACTTTTTGGACCAGAAATTATACATGTAATTGGAGCAGGGATACCTTTACCAAATATTACAACTTTCAGAAAACACTTGATATTCTTGGGAGAATATGCCCTGATTCATTTGTAAGACTGTAGAGCTAAGCATTATATTCTTCTCCATCTATGAAATGTACATTTTGCTGGGAAACAGGTGATCCCGTATAGGGATTTGAACGCTGGTGAAGTGTTTTTCACACCTGAAGAATTATCTACACTTACTGAAAAATGCACTAGGGTAATTGTGTCACTGATAATATTTTTTTGACAATGATAGGTATTAGGGTTAGGCAAGAATGATCTGTATCACTACAGGTATCCTGGGCCTTTCAGATTCAAAATCCGCTTTTTTCCCCCACCAGAAATCTCCATCTTATCAGCCTCTTAGTTGTTATTTGTTAAATTTATTCGCTGCCTATCTCACTGTGGGGCTACTCTAGGCGGCTTACAATAATAATAATAAAAGAAAATGAAAGGAATGTAAACAGAAATAGTAGAACCCAGAAAATAAAAAAATGAAAAAGGAACACAACGAGAATGCATCAATATGATAATCAAAAAGATGGATGGGTGGAGAGTAGAGAGCAGGAAGGTGAGGTGAAGTCTGCCATCAATCCAGCAGCCATTTCCAGCAAGGAATTCCCCATTTGGTCTCCAGGCCAACCAGCAGAGCCAGGACTTCTTAAGTTTGTATACAAGGTTGTATTCTTAGAGGTTAGGGTTATGTATCTTAGAGCCCACTTAAAAAGAGACATTAATTATGGGCCTCTTTGCAAATTGCAATTTCTTCACCAACACCAGCTAGACAATATGTGTTTTCTACCCAATTGTTGTCAGGATTTGTGCAGCTCTGGCAAAGTAATCCCAACTTTGCAAACTGATTCAGTTATCCAAGTTTGCACTTACCAGCAATACAAAGAATACAAAGAATACGAAGGTGATGAAGTAAATTGGTCCAAGAATTCGATTTGCATGTTCTATGTCGGCAAAATTAAAATCTCCAAGTACAATACGAAACTGGGTAAAACTTAGGAGGAAGCAAAAAATATACTAAGTATGAGATTCTAAGATTCTTACTGAGGTTGTAATCCTATACAGTTATTTGGTACCACTGAACACAGAACTTATTTTGGAGTTAAACTTGTGTAAACTATTCTGCAATAGATAATTGATACTAAAGTTACTAATATGAAGAACCACTGATTACAAGTGAGTTACTATCATTAGCTTCCAAGCCTATCTGTGGTGAAATAGGACCAAATAATGTCTATTTTAGATATTTGCCAACAAATCTCCTAAAGCTGTCCAATGGTAGGAGGAAGATGCTTTGAAAAAAAAATGACACTGGTTATGTCCTGCTTGCAGAACTATACCAAGTACAACCTACTCAATTTGTTTCTGAAAGTTTTCCAAACTGGAAAATGATTTACTTTCAAGGAAACCTTGAACTGAATATGAAAAGGGTGAAATGATGTGAGGAGAAAAATATAATGGATACTTGCCTGTGTATGTGTGTCTAGCTCTCCCTTACCAAATGGGTACTCATGTACTCATGAACATTTCCTATGCTATTCGCCAAACCTTCTGCCCTCCCTACTTAATGTTCTTGAAATAATATAATTCAAACAACATTAAGAAGCAAGGTGGTTTGCTGTAAAGCAAAATATTAACCTCCAGAATGCTAATAGTCTTGCATCTCATTTTGGCTCCAAAGGTATTCTTGGCACAAGGGAAAAATTTCTGTGGTAGTCACATGCTTTGTTAACGTGTTCACTGAGGCTTTGCAGTGATTATCCTAGACAATGATCTGGCAAAGAGAGTCCTTACCAATTGGAATAATTTGACTAATATAAGGACATGGCAGCCAGGCAGCATAGACAAGACTCTGCCCTCACGCCCGATTGTGCACAGTTGATGCTGTGGGGTGTGGGCAGATTTAGATTTTAGGGCCATAGAACAGCCGATTTTTGTCTCCTAGCCTATCAGCCTTAAAAAAACTGGCAAGGAGTAGAGTATCACTCTGATGCAGGGATGGGCAATTAATTTTCCCAAGGGGCCACACATGAGAAAGTGTTGAGACTGCTGTGGAGGGCCACCACTGCTGTTCCGCCTCCGCCCTTTCCCCCCCCACTGCCGCAGGCTAGATAGAGACACTCAAAGGGTCCGTATGTAGCCCATCGACTGTCAAATGCCAAGATGTGCTCTGATGGAAGATTTTCAATCACTATTTTGCTTTTCTAATTCACACATTTTGAGAAGGGTTGGTGGAGTTCAGAAGCGTCAGGTAATCCCAGAACTCCACAAGAGGCCACTATAGGAACTGTCGGTCTAACTGTTCACTTCATGACACTTCAAATTAACAACTTTGGAAGGGATGCTTTATAGCAGTGGTGGCGAACCTATGGCACGGGTGCCAGAGGCGGCACTCGGAGCCCTCTCTGTGAGCACACATGCTGTTGCCCCAACCTTGCCTCCCCCCATGACCCCCTCCTCACCAGCAGCCCCCCTGGAGGAGAGTCGCCCCCGAGTGTGGTCCACGCAGAGCAGCACAGCCAAGGACATGGCAGCCAGGCAGCATAGACAAGACTCTGCCCTCAACCCGATTGCGCACAGTTGATGCTGTGGGGTGTGGGCAGAGGGTGTGGCCGCCATGGTGCTGCTGGGCTCCCTGTGCGATCTGCGGCGGGCCCTGGAGGCGGTGACTGGCCCTGCGGGCAGGTGGGATGGGGGCGGGGCAGGGGGTGGAGCAGGGGCGGGGCCAGTTTTTGGGCACTCGGTCTCTAAAAGGTTCGCCATCACTGCTTTATAGCCTATAAAGCATTTTTAATTGTCACAAAGGATCAACCCCCCTCCCCCAAGTGGTACGTGACCATGATCTGGGTGCTTAGCAATCTGTTTGCATTTACAACCGGTTGTCAAGTGCTCCACAATCATGTGATCCCCATGCAATCTTCTCTGTCCGCATACCCGGAAACTCAGTGGGGAAGCCAGCAGGGAAGGCCCTGTAGGTGTTGTTGCCTGCCCAGAAGACTCCCTCTTATCTTGGGGAGGGGAGGGCTGCCTCTCTCTCTCTCTCATCTCTGGGAGCTGAAATCTTTTCAGTAAGCAGCTCTTCCACTCTGAAAGAGTTGCCTGCAAAGAACTGAGCTGTGTGCCCGCTTGGATTTGAAATTATGGAAATTTGGTTTTATATATATACTGACTGCAGCAAGGATATTGCATGCACCAGGAATGCTGGAATTACAGTTGTTGAGCAAAGTAGTCACATAATTTCCCACTTAAGGAGTGGTTTGCTCAAAGACCAGGTTTCCCATGCCAATTGTGGTTGTACGTTGAGGACCAGTTGTATCAAGTGCCTCTAGTTCCCTGCCCCTCCTCTAAAGAAAATTCTGCTCTAGCTAATGACCCAGTGAAACAACAGTATTAGATAACTTGGAATGTTCCATACATGCAATTCTGAAAAGTGGAAAACTCATCCACTTGCGACCCAAAGACCAGGTAGCCCAGCTGTGCATATGCAAAAAAGATGATAAAAAACATGATGGCAAATCCTATGATGTCTTTAGCACAGCGCGACAGAGTAGAAGACAGCTGAGTCATTGTCTTGTTAAAACTTATGTATTTAAATATCTGGAAGACAAAGACAAAATAGAGAACATTACAACGTTGCTAAGACCCAAATCTACCACATAGTCTTAAATCTTAAAGAGCTTTCACCTATCCCTCAGGAAATCAATATTAAACTGTAAAAACACACCAGTTAGCTTGAGATTAAAGAACTAAAGGAACAAAATGATCCACAAAAGGATTTATAGAAGGATTTCAGAGGTTATTCCTGTGAATATTCTAGACTGATTTGCCAGCCTCTAGTCCAATTCCAGCCCTGACTGAAAGGGCTGGTCATAACCTTTAGAATCATCACTGACTAGGCCCTAGTGCAGGGGTAGGCAACCTTGGCTCTTTTATGACTCGTGGACTTCAACTCCCAGAATTCCTGAGCCAGCCATGCTGGCTCAGGAATTCTGGGAGTTGAAGTCCACGAATCATAAAAGAGCCAAGGTTGCCTACCCCTGCACTAGTGTATCTGAAAGAGCTTCCTTGGCATGAGTTGCAGGTAGTCCTCAAGTTACAATAGCAATTGGGACCAGAATTTCCATTGCTAAGCTAAATGGTCATTAAATTAAACATCATGTGGCCATGCCACTTAGTGACAGCCCTGGTTGTGGTTATTAGGCAAGGACTGCACATGATTCTGACACGAGAAGAGGTGCTGAAGCTGTGCCCCAGAGTAGCAGGTCAGCCAGTAGATAGGTGACGCAGGTGATGCTACGGGGATGGGCGGGCTGGCAGGTGACATAGGCAGAAGCTACAGAGTACAGGCAGGCAGGTGTTTCTTTTTCACTCAGTTTATTATGCCACTGGCTTTATTGTGATTTCTTATTCTCTGTCACCATGTTGATAAAGCAAAAACGGCAGCCACATTCCAGGATAGAAGCCTGATCAAGTTAGCATAAGTGAGGAAAAAAAATTCAAATATTCCTTAAACTTGACAGTGGGGTTAGAATGTTTTGTTCTCTCTTTCCAATTTGTTGCGATTAACTTTTTTTTTTTAACCAATATTAGGACACCAAATTAGGTTAATAACAGTACCTTTATCCATGCAAAGAAGACATTCACTGAAATCATGTTATTGTAACGGGTCTGCCAAAATCCAAGGAAATAAAAGTCTGGATAAGAATCTGAATTGGAGAGCAGATTTTCCATAAGCCTGGATACTTCAACCGTTCGATAAACATTGAAAACAATAGCAAACAACGACAACTGAAGGAGAGGAAAAAGCAGAGGGTTGTAAGGCTACAATCGAGAAAATCAATTTATGTCTGCAAATCACATATTTATTAAAATTGCAGAGTGCAGGTAAAATACTTGTAAGACTTCTATGACTTTATGAAACATCATACTCTGCTACTCAGTATTTTAGCATTTAGTGATTTTTTTTTTCCTAAAGGGAAGCCTTTCTAAACTAGTAATGAAATTTATTTGACATTTTATATAAACTGTCTTATGCAAAATTACTGTGGAGGCAGCCGACAACTATACTGTACATTAAAACATAGTATAAATGCAACAAAGGCAAAGAAAGCAAAACAATCCATCAATTACAATCAGCACAATCAATAATTCCTGTGATGGCCACCCATAATCAGCACCATAAGCACCCTGAAACACATAGTAGTACTGAGTTTAGTTGTTTTCAAAATACAAGGAAGGTAAGAGCCACCTGTATCTCCATTGGGGGGGGGGGGCAACATTCTAAAACATGGGAACTGCCAGAGAGAAGGTCTATTGTACCAGCAGAAGGGAATATATGTACCTCAGCATTGTACATGAGCTCTTTGGTGCTCCAGCTTCTAACCCTATCTGAATCAGGATGTCCTGATGACTAATTCATCCTGGTCAGCATTTGACTGGTCTACTGTAATGGAATTTATATGGGGCTGCCATGAAGACAATATAGAAATTGCAGCTGAAGTGGGGGCATGGGGTGCAAGTGGGCCTGTTGATAATATACCTGGCCCCCTGCTATGTGTCAACGGCCCTGCCTGAGCTGGCTGACGTGATAGCCGGGGTGGCGGTTGAGACCCCTAGACTTATAGTTATGGGGGATCTCAACCTGCCATCGGCGGGCGAAACGTCAGCGGTGGCTCGGGAGTTCTTGGCCTCCATNGATCCTACTGACTTTCTCTATAGAAACGTAACTCCACAGGATGACCAAGCAAGTGTTTGTATGCTTTTTGCATGTTCATTTCTATATGAAAAATACTACAATATCATAAATCATGGTAAAAAAAGTTTAAATATGCCTTCAGATCAGAATATGGGCAACGTTATCCCAAGATAGAGAATTTTGGCTTATATGGGAATCTTCTCTAAGGTCCTGGGAATCGAAATGCAATTTTACTTTATTTCACAGACAGCAACAAAACATCCCTCCTTTTATTCTGTAAAGTATCAATGAAGCAGCAACAGTCTATTCATTGCTATTCATGTGCTCTGAAAAACAATTCAAGAAATACAATTTCTTGTGATGCACTTTTTAAATAAAGCATTGAGAAAAACAAGTTATCAGTAGCATTTAACTATTCCTTGAACTAAAAATTACAAGGTTGCCAGAATATCAATGCGCAGGACATGGTTTAAGTTCTTACCTGTTTTATAAGGTCGCTGATCTCAAACTCTCTGCTTGGAATTACTGAAAAGTCAGCTTTCACTTCAGAGTATGTGTCATTGATGATCGCCAAGAACATGTTCTACATGGGGGGGGGGAAGGAAAACATAATGTGAACAAATAATGCACAAATATGCAAGAATCTCAAAGATGTTCCAAAGCGAAGCATATCGATTCCAGGATAATAATACAGAGCAGTGCAACTTTTTTTTAAAATAGAGCATTCATATCAGAATATATTATGCTTATTATAGTAACCTAGCTCAGTGTTTCTCAACCTTGGCAACTTTAAGATGTGTGGATTTCAACTTCCAGAATTCCACAGCCAGCATAGCTGTGCCCACAAGGCGCGCGTGAATTCTGGAAGTTGAAGTCCACATATCTTAAAGTTGTCAAGGTTGAGAAACACAGGCCTAGCTGAATAGATTTTCTTACTGCACAGGCACCAAAGGAGTGAATCTTGTTGGTTGGCATTCCTGATTGTTATTTATCATTTACCTGGTAAGAATACTTTTCTTGATAACCTGATGAGGATTCGGACCTCAGTCTGAAATCTGACCTTATCCAAGAAGTTCAAAGCAAGCTTCCCAACCAAGTTTACTCATTTGATTTTGCCCAAGCCTGTCACTCTGAATGAAAGCAAGAATATTTCAGTGGTGGGTATGGGACAGGGGTAGGCAACCTTGGCTCTTTTATGACTCGTGGACTTCAACTCCCAGAATTCCTGAGCCAGTCCACGAGTCATAAAAGAGCCAAGGTTGCCTATCCCTGGAATAGAGTTTTGCACAGTACACCAGTTGTTGCTGAATAACTAGTGGGGTAGCCTCTTCTTTTTTAAATCTCAGTAAATTACAGCAATAAAAATGTATTTAAAAACTCACAGAATCTCATCCATCTGCTTACAAGGCAGCACAAAAGGTAATATCCTGTTTTTAATATTTCCAATTGTGACACAGCTGATTCCTTCAAACAGACTATGTCAGGTTCACAAGACTTTTCCTTTTAAATTCTCAAGTCAACAGTCATAGGAACAAAGTCTTAGATCCTGAACAGTTTAATTCACTTGGAATGAGGTAGGTTGATTTTACTTTGATTTTCTCATCTTCTTAGGTCTCGGTAGAAATCATGAACAGCATTTTTATCCCTGAGAGGGCTCTGAGTGCCGCCTCTGGCACGCGTGCCATAGGTTCGCCACCACTGCACTAGGGTAATTGTGTCACTGATAATATTTTTTTGACAATGATAGGTATTAGGATTAGGCAAGAATGATCTATCACTACAGGTATCCTGGGTCTTTCAGATTCAAAATCCGCTTTTTTTTTTACCAGAAATCTCAGGAATAATCATGTCTCCATCTTATCAGCCTCTTAGTTGTTATTTATTTGTTAAATGTATTCGCTGCCTATCTCGCTGTGGGGCTACTCTAGGCGGCTTACAATAATAATAATAAAAGAAAATGAAAGGAATGTAAACAGAAATAGTAGAACCCAGAAAATTAAAAAATGAAAAAGGAACACAATGAGAATGCATCAATATGATAACCAAAAAGATGGATGGGTGGAGAGTAGAGAGCAGGAAGGTGAGGTGAAGTCTGCCATCAACCCAGTAGCCATTTCCAGCAAGGAATTCCCCATTTGGTCCCCAGGCCAACCAGCAGAGCCAGGACTTCTTAGGTTTGTATACAAAGTTGTATTCTTAGAGGTTAGGGTTATGTATCTTAGAGCCCACTTAAAAAGAGACATTAATTATGGGCCTCTTAGCAAATTGCAATTTCTTCACCAACACCAGCTAGACAATATGTGTTTTCTACCCAATTGTTGTCAGGATTTGTGCAGCCCTGGCAAAGTAATCCCAACTTTGCAAACTGATTCAGTTATCCAAGTTTGCACTTACCAGCAATACAAAGAATACAAAGAATACGAAGGTGATGAAGTAAATTGGTCCAAGAATTCGATTTGCATGTTCTATGTCGGCAAAATTAAAATCTCCAAGTACAATACGAAACTGGGTAAAACTTAGGAGGAAGCAAAAAATATACTAAGTATGAGATTCTAAGATTCTTACTGAGGTTGTAATCCTATACAGTTATTTGGTACCACTGAACACAGAACTTATTTTGGAGTTAAACTTGTGTAAACTATTCTGCAATAGATAATTGATACTAAAGTTACTAATATGAAGAACCCCTGATTTACAAGTGAGTTACTATCATTAGCTTCCAAGCCTATCTGTAGTGAAATAGGACCAAATAATGTCTATTTTAGATATTTGCCAACAAATCTCCTAAAGCTGTCCAATGGTAGGAAGAAGATGCTTTTGAAAAAAAAAAAGACCATGATACTGGTTATGTCCTGCTTGCAGAACTATACCAAGTACAACCTACTCAATTTGTTTCTGAAAGTTTTCCAAACTGGAAAATGATTTACTTTCAAAGAAACCTTGAATTGAATATGAAAAGGGTGAAATGATGTGAGGAGAAAAATATAATGGATACTTGCGTGTGTATGCGTGTCTAGCTCTCCCTTACCAAATGTACTCATGAACATTTCCTATGCTATTTGCTAGACCTTCTGCCCTCCCTACTTAATGTTCTTGAAATAATATAATTCAAACAACATTAAGAAGCAAGGTGGTTTGCTGTTAAGCAAAATATTAACCTCTAGAATGCTAATAGTCTTGCATCTCATTTTGGCTCCAAAGGTATTCTTGGCACAAGGGAAAAATTTCTGTGGTAGTCACATGCTTTGTTAACATGTTCACTGAGGCTTTGCAGTGATTATCCTAGACCAGTGATGGCGAACCTTTTAGAGACTGAGTGCCCAAACTGCAACCCAAAACCCATTTATGCATCGTCGAGTGCCGGGTGGGTGTAGTCCATTGGGTGGGCGTGGCTGCGATGATAACGGCACACTGGGTGGGACTAAAAAGTTCAATCAATCAATTCCAACTTTGCAAGATCTTTTTTTTCCTGCGAGAAGTTGAAATTGACTGATTGAACCTTTTTTTTTTTTGCACACGGCGGCGGAGGCCTAAAGCAAAAAGGTTTTATAAAACCCAGCTGAAGGCCTAGGACTGGGGCGACGGCGCGCGTGCCCACAGAGAGGGCTCTGAGTGCCGCCTCTGGCACCCGTGCCATAGGTTCACCACCACTGTCCTAGACAACGATCTGGCAAAGAGGGTCCTTACCAATTGGAATAATTTGACTAATATAAAGGAGTACTTTAGATTTTAGGGACACAAGCCATAGAACAGCAGATTTTTGTCTCCTAGCCTATCACCCTTAAAAAAACTGGCAAGGAGTATCATTCTGATGCAGGGATGGGCAATTAATTTTCCCAAGGGGCCACACGTGAGAAAGTGTTGGGACTGCTGGGGAGGGCCACCACTGCTGCTCCGCCTCCACCCTTCCCCCCCCCCCACTGCCGCAGGTAGATAGAGACACTCAAAGGGTCCATATGTACCCCATCCACTGTCAAATGCCCAGATGTGCTCTGATGGAAGATTTCCAATGACTATTTTGCTTTTCTAATTCACACATTTTGAGAAGGGTTGGTGGAGTTCAGAAGCGTCAGGTAATCCCAGAACTCCACAAGAGGCCACTATAGGAAGTGTCGGTCTAACTGTTCACTTCATGACACTTCAAATTAACAACTTTGGAAGGGATGCTTTATAGCAGTGGTGGCAAACCTATGGCACGGGTGCCAGAGGCGGCACTCGGAGCCCTCTCTCTGGGCACACATGTTGTTGCCCCAGCCTTGCCTCCCCCCGTGACCCCCTCCTCACCAGCAGCCCCCTTGGAGGAGAGTCGCCCCCGAGTGTGGCCCACGCGGAGCAGCACAGCCAAGGACATGGCAGCCAGGCAGCATAGACAAGACTCTGCCCTCACGCCCGATTGCGCACAGTTGATGCTGTGGGGTACGGGCAGAGGGCATGGCCGCCATGGTGCTGCTGAGTTGCCTGTGCGATCTGCGGCGGGCCCTGGAGGCGGTGAGTGGCCCTGCAGGCAGGTGGGGTGGGGGCGGGGCAGGGGGTGGAAGCGGGGCCAGTTTTTGGGCACTCAGTCTCTAAAAGGTTTGCCATCACTGTTTTATAGTCTATAAAGCATTTTTAATTGTCACAAAGGATCAACCCCCCTCCCCCAAGTGGTACGTGACCATGATCTGGGTGCTTAGCAATCTGTTTGCATTTACAACCGGTTGTCAAGTGCTCCAAATCATGTGATCCCCATGCAATCTTCTCTGTCCGCATACCTGGAAACACAGTGGGGAAGCCAGCAGGGAAGGCCCTGTAGGTGTTGTTGCCTGCCCAGAAGACTCCCTTTTATCTTGGGGGCGGGGAGGGCTGGCTCTCTCTCTCATCGCTGGGAGCTGAAATCTTTTCAGTAAGCAGCTCTTCCACTCTGAAAGAGTTGACTGCAAAGAACTGAACTGTGTGCCCACTTGGATTTGAAATTATGGAAATTTGGTTTTATATACAGTATATACTGACTGCAGCAAGGATATTGTATGCACCAGGAATGCTGGAATTACAGTTGTTGAGCAAAGTAGTCACATAATGTCCCACTTAAGGAGTGCTTTGCTCAAATACCAGGTTTCCCATGCCAATTGTGGTTGTACGTTGAGGACCAGCTGTATCAAGTGCCTCTAGTTCCCTGCCCCTCCTCTAAAGAAAATTCTGCTCTAGCTAATGACCCAGTGAAACAACAGTATTAGATAACTTGGAATGTTCCATACATGCAATTCTGAAAAGTGGAAAACTCATCCACTTGCGACCCAAAGACCAGGTAGCCCAGCTGTGCATATGCAAAAAAGATGATAAAAAACATGATGGCAAATCCTATGATGTCTTTAGCACAGCGCGACAGAGTAGAAGACAGTTGAGTCATTGTCTTGTTAAAACTTATGTATTTAAATATCTGGAAGACAAAGAAAAAATAGAGAACATTACAACGTTGCTAAGACCCAAATCTACCACATAGTCTTAAATCGTAAAGAGCTTTCACCTATCCCTCAGGAAATCAATATTAAACTGTAAAAACACACCAGTTAGCTTGAGATTAAAGAACTAAAGGAACAAAATGATCCACAAAAGGATTTATAAAAGGATTTCAGAGGTTATTCCTGTGAATATTCTAGACTGATTTGCCAGCCTCTAATCCAATTCCAGCCCTGACTGAAAGGGCTGGTCATAACCTTTACAATCATCACTGACTAGGCCCTAGTGCAGGGATAGGCAACCTTGCCTCTTTTATGACTCGTGGACTTCAACTCCCAGAATTCCTGAGCCAGCCATGCTGGCTCAGGAATTCTGGGAGTTGAAGTCCACGAATCATAAAAGAGCCAAGGTTGCCTACCCCTGCCCTAGTGTATCTGAAAGAGCTTCCTTGGCATGAGTTGCAGGTAGTACTCAAGTTACAATAGCAATTGAGACCAGAATTTCCATTGCTAAGTTAAATGGTCATTAAGTGAAACATCATGTGGCCATGCCACTTAGTGACAGCCCTGGCTGTGGTTATTAGGCAAGGACTGCACATGATTCTGACACGAGAAGAGGTGCTGAAGCTGTGCCCCAGAGTAGCAGGTCAGCCAGTAGATAGGTGATGCAGGTGATGCTACGGGGGATGGGCGGGCTGGCAGGTGACATAGGCAGAAGCTACAGAGTACAGGCAGGCAGGTGTTTCTTTTTCACTCAGTTTATTATGCCACTGGCTTTACTGTGATTTCTTATTCTCTGTCACCATGTCGATAAAGCAAAAACAGCAGCCACATTCCAGGATAGAAGCCTGATCAAGTTAGCATAAGTGAGAAAAAAAATGCAAATATTCCTTAAACTTGATAGTGGGGTTAGAATGTTTTGTTCTCTCTTTCCAATTTGTTGCGATTAACCTTTTTTTTTAAACCAATATTAGGACACCAAATTAGGTTAATAGCAGTACCTTTATCCATGCAAAGAAGACATTCACTGAAATCATGTTATTGTAACGGGTCTGCCAAAATCCAAGGAAATAAAAATCTGGATAAGAATCTGAATTGGAGAGCAGATTTTCCATAAGTCTGGATACTTCAACCGTTCGATAAACATTGAAAACAATAGCAAACAACGACAACTGAAGGAGAGGAAAAAGCAGAGGGTTGTAAGGCTACAATCGAGAAAATCAATTTATGTCTGCAAATCACATATTTATTAAAATTGCAGAGTGCAGGTAAAATACTTGTAAGACTTCTATGACTTTATGAAACATCATACTCTGCTACTCAGTATTTTAGCATTTAGTGATTTTTTTTCCCTAAAGGGAAGCCTTTCTAAACTAGTAATGAAATTTATTTGACATTTTATATAAACTGTCTTATGCAAAATTACTGTGGAGGCAGCCGACAACTATACTGTACATTAAAACATAGTATAAATGCAACAAAGGCAAAGAAAGCAAAACAATCCATCAATTACAATCAGCACAATCAATAATTCCTGTGATGGCCACCCATAATCAGCACCATAAGCACCCTGAAACACATAGTAGTACTGAGTTTAGTTGTTTTCAAAATACAAGGAAGGTAAGAGCCACCTGTATCTCCATTGGGGGGGGGGCAACATTCTAAAACATGGGAACTGCCAGAGAGAAGGTCTATTGTACCAGCAGAAGGGAATATATGTACCTCAGCATTGTACATGAGCTCTTTGGTGCTCCAGCTTCTAACCCTATCTGAATCAGGATGTCCTGATGACTAATTCATCCTGGTCAGCATTTGACTGGTCTACTGTAATGAAATTTATATGGGGCTGCCATGGAGACAATATAGAAATTGCAGCTGATACAGTATGAGCTACAGTGTCTAAATTGCTGTTCTGGGCAGAATATCAATTTTAGAATTGCTCTACTGGTTAATAGTAAGCTTCTAGTCCCAATTCTAGGCTGAGCATTATCTTAAATGGCAAGTACCAGGATACACCAGATAATACCTTGCTAGACTTGAATCTGCCATCCAGGCAGGACACATGGTAACAATCTCTCTCCATGAATGGTGTATGAATTTGGACCACACAATGTCACTGGCCCAGCCGAGCCTAATGGCCACAGCCATTCTGTCTTGTCAGGGCTGAGCCAAAGTCTCTTCCTCCCCATCTCAACACAAACAGCCTCCACATTGGGCCTGTACCTCGATAGCTTCATTTCCACAGTGCAGGATAGGAATGTAAAGATGGATATCATCACCATACTGGTAATACCAAACCAAGAAATGATGGATGACCTCATCCAGTGGTTTCATATAAATGTTAAACAGGAGAGGAGTAGGCGAGGGGCCGTGAATGTGATCTATCTCTCCTCCTGTCAGCACTGCATTGAATCAACCACTGGGTAAGGAGGTGAAGCACTGCAACACACTGCCTCCCACTCTCTGCAATTAGTCCAGAAGGATGCCATGACCTTGGAAACTGCTGTGCACCAGAATGGATGCACCACCAGCAGCACCACTCCATCAAAGGTCATCAATCAGCACTGTCACATAATATACTTTGGTCTGAAGACAGACTGCCAACAGGTTCAAATAACTTGTTTCCTCCATGAGCCTCCAAGACACAACCTTTTGGCTGTCATTAACAGCCCAGGAGGGGCCATGATCGAACAAACAAGTGATTGAATTGACAGACTGGAGGATTTTGTCCACTTCCTCCGGAATCACAGAATTGAACTCAGTCCAGATAACCTCTTGGGCCTGTTTTTGATGGATCTGAATGACTTTATCTGTCAAACAGTGTGACTTTTTCTTAGTCAAGATCCAGCCCACACACAATGAGTCACCCTGAAAAGGGCCACTTAGTACTGATAGCTATCAGCAGACAAAGTGAGGGCAAATAATGGGGTTTTGCTGCCTTTATCACCACAATGTAGGCTCAAATATGGGCTCTAACTTATGACTGGTCAGGATCCCTCTCCCTTTAATGCCTTTCCACGCATTGCTTCTGGGACTTTATCTCCCAGAGATCCAAGGTGCAATTCTTTGCATTGTTCTCTTTGTTCTTCGGTGTTCCAAAACAGAGGAGTACATTATGGCAAAACCTCCTCTGATTTATGACGTCAGGCTTTACCTTTCATTGGACCAATGTACGTTATGCCCTCAAATAGGATAGTCAAGCCAGGACAGAAAGAAACAGATTTCTACTCTCCTCTTATCCACCTTGGCATCTGATTAAAAACCCATTTTCTAAATCAGTGACACGGAAATGCTGAAACTTACCAAGAGCAACAACATATCCAGCCAATTCCAAGCATTTCTAAAATAATCTCCTTTCAGTTTCCTGATTTTTATAAATTCTTGAATAAGGAATGTGAAGATGAAAAGGCAGAAGATGACTTCACAGGAGGCTAGAAAATAATCATAATAGGTGACGTATCTGAGAAGTTTTACAGAGTGGAACTGCCAGGAAGGGATTACGCCACCTGTTGCAGGAAACTCCATAGTCAGCCTGTGAAAATAAAACAATGATGCCCTCTGTGTATCTGGGAGACTGCAGGTGTCTACCTTCTAAGATGTAAGCTAAATGGAACTATGACAAACCCCACACCAAGAATATAGGTGTTGCTGTTATTTCAACTTTGCGTGACTAATGATTATAGCCGTTTGTTCATTTTTAATTATACAAATTTCTATAAATATGATGATTTGGTCTATATACAGTATACCCAACTAAAAAAAGAACAAAAAAAAACAGCATAAGTTGACAGGAAGATTTCATGGAATTCCTGCAGCTCAACAGAATACATGGAGCGCTGAGGAACAGTCAAGGCAGGGATGATGCCAGAATGAAGAAGCTGAGTTTTGAATTGACAGAGTGCAACAAGCAGGTAGAGGCAGAAGAATGAGGTGAGGAATGCAATTTTGACGAGTATGTTCTAGAAACAAGTAGAAGCTCGATATGGAAATGGGAATTAAGAGTTGGAGAAGCTGTAGACCTGAAGACCTCTGAATGAAGGATAATATCTACAAGAAATGGGTGAAGGAAACACACCTACAATCGTATCTCCAGTCAAAACTGTAACTGCTTCAAAGTCTCAACTGTTGTTTTAATGAGGACTTTCATGTGGCACTCAATCAAGTCATCCCCAACAACACAGGTATTTTAGTAAATTTCTCTCAAAAGTAGGACACATAAAGCAGAGTGATTAGAAGAGCTCACCTGACTATGCAGAAGAGATTAACATTAGCATTGTACATTGAAAAATCAATGAAGACAACCCTTGTTCCTCGGGTGATCCAGCTGTTTTGCTTGAGGAAGGTTATCATCTGTAAACTTTGTTCCTTTGATTTGTTCAGGATGAACATAAATCCTCCAGTACTATACAGACCAATAAGGCCCCAATGCCAGGGAGCTAGAGTAGCAGAAGTGTAGTACTGCCACCTGGTGGACAGAAGGGTATTAATCTAGTCTTCTACAGTGAAATGTGACAAGAGCATTCCAACAGTAAATAGTAAAGCAACAGTTGGTACCTGCAGGTGCAGTAGACCAAAAAACTGCCATTGATGCAAGTGGAAGTCCTTTTCCCCATACAAATGCAGATAGAAGCAAGACACAATCAGGACCGAAGTACAGGTAGTCCTCAACTTACAAAAATTCGTTTAGTGACCATTTGAAGTTACAATAGCACTGAAAAAAGTGACTTATGACCATTTTTCAAGCTTACGCCCACTGTAGCATCTCCGTGGTCACATGATCAAAATTCATATTTATGACAATTGCAGTATCCTGGGGTCATTTGATCAGCTTTTGTGCCCTTCTGACAAGCAAAGTCAATGGGGAAACCAAATTCAGTTAACAACCATGTTACTAACTTATTAACTGCAGCAATTCACTTAACAATTGTGGTAAGAAAGGTCGTAAAATGGGGGAAAGCTCACTTAATAACTGTCTTGCTTAGCAACAGAAAGTTTGGACTCAAGCTTAGCATAAAGTTATTAAATCAGCTCACAAGCATGCATTGCTTCAGAGTTTGAACAATTTAAATAAGGAAATAATGGGATTTGCCTGAGAGGAAGTCAAATCCCACAATCAGAGTTTGTTAAACTACATGTAAAACGAAGGAATCAGGGGAAAAAAAAAACCAAACAAACCTGAGATGTAATTTATACTTACGCGGAATCATTTTTAAAACCAAAGCTTTCTCTGTCTTCATGTACGTAGCGATACTGCCCATAGCATTCTCTCATAAATGCACGAAAAGAAGGATAGACGGAACAAGTGTTGTTACGGACTTTCAATTGCCGGATCTGAGCTACTCCAAGGAGTAAGTTCTCATAGTAAATATGGCTACTGTTTCTGTAGCTACTTGTGGAATTTTCAGTATACCAGGTGTTCCAATAAAGCCCATTCAGAAGTGGACCTTCTAAAAACTATATTAAATGAAAGAAGTTATTTGTTTGCTTTTTCATAAAACAAACCCATCCTTTGAAAACCATTTACAAAGAGTCAAACATATCTGAATGCTCATGGGTAGAATGGGAAATCCAAGCCTTGGGAAAAGTGTATTTATCTTCTTTGGCTTTACATCCATCTTGCCGAAGAAAATGTAACAAAATCAATTGTCACATCACTTGACGACATTTAGACCTACAGAATCTCTTAATATTATTTTGAACAGTATTTTTAATTTTATTTCCAGACAAGATCTATACACCTCTGTTCCGAAGCAAGCACCTTGGGTTTATTTCAACTAAACCTATACATAATCTAAGCTTTAAATTTTGAACACTGTTCATAATCAGTGTTCTGTGAACATGATTCCCCCCCCTGCTTTCTTGTATGAAGGATTGTTCCCATAGCCCTTTGTCCCACTACAGAGCATCCTTTGCATATTGAATATCCGGTCATCTATTTTTTTAAATCTCTAGTTTGAATGGGAAGACTTCCTGCCTACAATCCTCAAGAGCCACTGCCAGTCAATGTTGCCAATATTGGCTAGAGACTCAGTGCAAGGCAATCTGATGTGCGCGGAGCGGCTGAAAAACAAGAGATGAGACTTCTGAATTTAGTAAGATTGCCACCAAAATACAACAGCGCATCAGGTGAGGATTCTGGGAGCTGCAGCACTGAGGTTTGAAGACTGCATGCAGACTGTTGGTTGCCTACTCCTAAACTAAGCCAGAATTTAACTGCGGTATGCTGAACAATAAAAAAAACCAGCTTAAGTCTGGTTGGATTTGCACACCACCCTAAGCCATAGGATGGCTTATTGGCGTTGGATTGATATAACAAAGCTTAGCAAGCCTCAGTCTTACAGATAACCAAATTATTCGTGATTGGTTTTAGACATTTCTGGATTTACTTGGTTGCTCCTGTCCCTCTGTTGGGACTGGAATTGGTTAGAGAAGGCAAGGCCCCAAGGCACCAAACGGGAGGATTTTGAGCAAAGGCAGAATACTTCTGAAATCCCCAATGAACTGGAGCCAGTCATCATAACAATGACAAAATCAAACACAGCTATGATATAACCGTCAAGGAGGCCAATGTTTTTAAAAGAGCAAAGATGGAAAGAAAACTTTACCTGCCAAAAGTCATTGATGCTGCCCATAGTTTTGAAAATTGTCTTATCTTTCGCTGAGAAAGATGTTTCCAAGAACAGGTTGGCCATTACTCTGTTTAGGTAATACATATCTGTGCTCACCATCCCAAATGTCACTGCAGAGAAAAATATGCAGAAATCTGAACTGAGGAAATGAAACAGCAGGGTGGTTCAGATCCCCTAACACACTTGCCCTATTTATTCACTGGAATCCCAAAGAAAAGTGATTTCTGAACTAATGGGCCACAGCAATACCAGAGGGGGAAAAAAGGCAATCATGCTCTCTATCCATGAGCATTTTAATTGTTTTTGGGACTCTCAAAGAACTTTCATTATTATGTAGAAACAATTTACTGTACAAGATATGCTTTCCCCTCCGGCCTTAAAAATCCCTACATTTGACTGATTTACATGAACATACACTGTTTTTGGAGATTCTCAAGCATCCAGATCATGGTTGTCCCAAAGGTGCTTTTTCAAAAGGCAACTGGACTTCCTTGTTATTTATTCTTTGAAGACGTTTTGCTTCTCATCCAAGAAGCTTTCAGATGAGAAATGAAACAATTTCAAGGAAAAACAAAGTCCAGTTGCCTTTTGAAAAAGCACCTTTGGGTGAACATACACTCATATTCTCTCTCTGTCTGTCTCTCTGTCTCTCTCTCTCTCCCCCCCCCCCATCTAGCTAGCTATAAAAATAGGGAAATGGATTAACAATTATACGCTCCTGAATTTTTTTGTTCAATACTATACAGATACAAATCCAGTTTTCTCAAGGATCATGGGTAAGTGCACCATCCAATCATATTTTAAACTGCCTTTTTAAACTGCCACATGTGCATATCCACAGTTACATTCAGACCTTAACAAAAATCAGAATCCTAGTGAAGGAATCCAGCTTTACTCCTCCCTCACTATAATATTTTGATTGATAAATAAATCAAGAAAAATACAAGAGAGAGGCTTATGGCTGATTAGATTCATATTATTATGCATTCATATTCATTTCATATTTCATATGAAAGTTGGCTGGGTGACTTTGGCTCAGCCCAACCCATTTCAAAGTGTTGTTGTGGTGGGGAATTGCAGGAGGCAGGAGTATTAGGTATAAGTAGTCTTCAATTTACAACCACAATTGGGACTGGAATCTTGGTGGTTGAACAAGCAATCATTAAGCAAGATGCTCAGATGACCACTCCACTCAATGGCCACAATCCTGGCACTCCCAGTTGAGGCCGTTAAGTAACCACATGGGTCATTAAGTGGAAAGAGCAAAAGAGATACCTACTGAAGGAGGGCAGGCTGTTCCCTTCCATGTGTGGAAGAGAATTTTTGCCCTGGATACAGGAATGGAATTTGGATCTTTGGACACAGAGGGGAGGGGTAAATCCCCGACAGGTGGCAGCGGTTTGCAACTTTCCTTGCCAGCTTCCATTTTGACCTTCTGGGGAAGCTGGCAGAGGAGACTCCAAATGGTGGTCAGGTGATTGCAGGGCCCTTGACAACCAGTTGTTAAGTGCGAGCAATACCCAAATTATGATCAAATTATGATCACCTGACCACAGGGGGATTGTCATGACATTTTATGATAGTTGCAGTGCTTTACAGACTGTAAAGCATCCTTTCTAATTGTATGTTTAAATGATGGTTAAACAACTGGCCATAAATCAAGGATTACTTATACACATATACACTTATAAATTCAAGGCAGCAAGCACATAAAGGTAGTCCTCGACTTGCAATTTGTTTAGTGACCATTCAAAGTTACAAAGGCACTGAAAAAAGTGACTTATAATCTTTTTCACACTTATGACCGTGGCAGCATATCAAAATTCAGGTGCTTGGCAACTGACTTGTACTCATGATAGTTGCAGTGTCCCAGGATAATGTGATCACCTTTTGCTACCTTTTGGCCAGCAAAGTCAGTGGAGAACCCAGATTCACTTAACAACTGTGTTACTAACTTAACAGTTGCAGTGATTCACTTAACAACTGTGGCAAGAAAGGTTGTTAAATGGGGCAAAACTCACTTAACAAATCTCTCAGTAACAGAAATTTTGGGCTCAATTGTGGACATAAATTGAGGACTATCTGTATATATAAGTATAATATTTTTTTTATAACAGCTTGAGAAATACATAATTAATTCTGTACTTTTCATTACACAATTTTTATAGGAAAAAATTCCACTCCCCTTTCTGGACTTACATATACATAAATCAGTTAGAAAAATAATGTAGATCAATAGTTCTTGGAGAGTAGTTTTCATTTCTAGCTCTCTGCTATGAGTCAATCGAGGTTTCACATTGCCTGTTAATGTGTAATTTTCAAAAAGAACGAAAAAAAAAGATCAACTCAGAATGCTGAGAACTACTCAGACCCAATCAAGTTAAAGAAGTCCCCGAATTACAAAAATAAAATTAAAATTCAGAAATAGCTGTGACTCCGAATGTATTATCAGTTTGATTGCATTGTAGACACCTTATATTTTATGAAATTCAGTACTGACAATAATTAATGTTGTTATTTAAAAAGAATAATAAAGAAAGTATAATCATTGGAGCTTAAATATTTAACACTGCTCTGTTTTGGAAGCTCAAATATTGTTGAAAATAAATGTTGGCTGGATATTGTTATATTTTCACAAAGCATAAAAGCAGCCACTCTGAGAAGGAGAAAATTAGCATAATCCCCAAACTGCCAAACTCCAATTTCCATTACCTCTCTAGGCAACATGGACAGTGGGCTGTAATCCCACTATCCTTAGCAATTGAAATGCAACTGCCTGGGCAGCAAATTACAATGATGCACACATCATATCATGTACACGAGATGCAGATTTGTGCAGTGATGAGCATGCGTTCTTTGATACCTCTCCTCTATGCCCCCTCCCGCCATGGTGGTCCTCTTATTCCAGATTTTCAACCTATTGTTATACATTCTTTTGCTTCAAAATCAACATTCAACTTTGTGTCCAAAGAAGTTGCCCAGTTCACCTAGAGGGAAGGGCCACTTCCCTGATTTTGTGGTTTGTGTGGCTTGTTTACTTTGGCTATAGACTGTGAATCCAAGCCACTGATTTGTAATCCATTGTTTTGTGGCATTTTTGGGTGGCTGGGGAGATTGTGTTTAACATTCTTTTGATTTTAGAGAGAAGAATGAAGAAAATGTGAAGACAACTTTCTGTTTATTCTTCATTTGGGGATAGAATCAGTGTTTTGGTTTTTTTTCCATTCTAAACTATGTTGTGTTTATTTTATGGCTTAATTAAAGTTTTTGAGTGCATCCTATTACAAAATAGCAGGAAAATATACCAGCAATTTTTAACAGCAGTTGTCAGAGGTGCAGAAGGGAGGGTTCAGAGTATAAAAGAGGTTTAGCTTCAGGTTACCAACTTTTGATTTATAGTGTAATTAGTATGTGAATCCAGCCAACTGTATTCAACATAGCACAATGAGGCAAAGTTTAATGTATGGCTTACAATGGTTGTCCAGCAACTTAGAACTAGGTTTTATGCAGAACAAAGCCATGTTTGCTGCACAACATGCAGATATTCTGGAGTCCCATGTCACACTGAACCATAAATTAGTCCCACAAGCAGGTTCACACAATTTAGTAAGCTGAAATGTGATTTGGTGTTGACTGTGTTGTACAACTGTGGATGGTAAGCTCTATAGCAGTGGTGGTGAACCTATGGCACGGGTGCCAGAGGCGGCACTCAGAGCCCTCTCTGTGGGCACGCGTGTCATCGCCTCAGTCCTAGACCTTCAGCTGGGTTTTATAAAACCTTTTCGCTTTAGGCCTCTGCCGCTGTGTGCAAAAAAAAAAAAAAAGATTCAATCAATCAGCCAATTTCAACTTCTCGCGGGAAAAAAAAGATCTTGCAAAGTTGGAATTGATTGATTGAACTTTTTAGTCCCACCCAGTCTGCCGTTACCACTGCAGCCACGCCCACCCAGTGGGTCACACCCACCCAATTGGCCACACCCAGCCAATGGGCCACGCCCACCCGGCACCCGATGATACATAAGTGGGTTTTGGGTTGCAGTTTGGGCACTCCGTCTCTAAAAGGTTCGCCATCACTGCTCTATAGATAGGACCTGGATGCATGCAGAGGTATTGCACTTTTATTGTCTTGCTTATGCGCAACTTATAGCGGGAAACGGCATTTTCGTTTTAAAACCCTCAGGATCAGGAAACCCCAAAACACCAGGGTCTTTCCTGAGAAACTTGTGTAAACGCCTCAAGTTTTTAAGCTATTCCATCTGTTCAGCAGCAACAACAACTACATGCCCACAATCTTCCTTTCTCGGATACAGTACAATAACACAGTTAAAAGACCCATTAGAGTCATTGGCATAGATATTCAGCCATCCATGGGTTCACTTCAATAGACTCCCTCTAAAGACCCCCATTTGGCTCCTGAGATGAACATCTGTATTGACGAATATAACTACGGCAATCCCCCTTCTACGATTCTCTCCTCCACGTGCCCAAGGCAAAGGTGAAACCCGCGGGGAAAGCCCGAGGCAGAACCGCCGCCCAAGCACGGGCGGCGCCAGGATTGGCCGGGCCGACTCCCGCCCAAGCGCTCTCCCCTACAAGGAAGCCGACCCACCGAGGGTGCTTCGTTGCTCCTGCGTGGACCCTGCCTGGCTCGTAGCCATGGCGGGGCTCGCAAGGAGGGTCGCGCCGCCCTTCCTCTCCGCCGCCGCTCCTCTCCGTCCTCCGCCTCAGAATAACGAACACAACGCCACTCGATCGGGGCGAAGGGCGGGGGCGCGGCTGCCTCTGCGCGAAAGCCGCCCTCGCCTTCCCTTGCGCGCAACGCGGGATCGCGTCTTGCACCAAGAAGCCAGCTTTTAGCGGGCCAAGAAGCTCGGGAGTTCTGCAAAAATAGATACTGCCAAACATCTTGGATTTATTTAGCACGTGCGGGTTCGGTTCGAGGCGTCTTTCTTCTGAAACTCGACCCAGCTAGATCGGTTTTGTCTTTTAAGCAGAGATCCTGCCCGGCTGCTTTAGCGGCTGTGTTTTAAAGGCTTTCGCCACGTCGTTTGCGCAAAATACCACACAAATTAAGTTAACGGAATAAGCCACGATTATACCGGTAGCTGTGGGTCGCAGGAATACAGAACTGTATACTATTCAGCCAGCGGGTTTTATAGATGAACAACATTTTCTTATTGCAGCTATAGCGTCCTTTCCATTGTTCTGCAGCGTAGCTTTTGCCTTTAAAAATATTTTGATCCTTTCCGCAATTGATGGGTAACCCAGAAGACGTTGTCTAGGTGTCAACATTCACTTGAAGTGCTGAGCTTCTGAAATGGGGTTGGGGGAGGCCTTTTTTCATGATAAAAATATAGGTTTTTCCCCCTAAGGCAGGGGTAGGCAACCTCGGCTCTTTTATGACTCATGGACTTCAACTCCCAGAATTCCTGAGTCAGCATGGCTGACTCAGGAATTCTGGGAGTTGAAGTCCATGAGTCATAAAAGAGTCGAGGTTGCCTACCCCTGCCCTAAGGCTTTATCATACCGGAGCCGCGCCCACCCCATTGCCGGCAATGGCAAAAAAGCTCCAATACATTGCACGATGTCACGTGACCTCGCGAGTTTGACATGTCTGCCCTAAGGGCTACCTGACCTAAGATGGCTTGCATCTCAGGAGATGGCAAGTAAGGGTATATGAACTCTTGGCTGTAATGTATATTAGCTGCCTGATTTTTCAGCTGAGGATTGTTAACTTTACAAGAGGTCTGCTGTTTCATAATGTGGCTCCTGTTCCTTATTCTGAAACTACAGCCTAGATGATATTACCGTACATACATGATCAATAACAATTTCCCCCCTTAAATGTCCTTTTACATTGCTCCTTTGGAATTACTGTCACAGCCTAGTTTTTTAATTTGTTCAGTGCTTTTCACTGTCGTTTTTTTTTTCCTATGGGACCACAATGGAAGAAACAATTTCGCCCTTGCTGTCCCTCTTCATTAACAGAATTTTTTACATTTCTTGTAAATGTTATGACTTGGCATACGAATCCACTACAGATAAAAAGTGTTCTAGCTGAAAGCTCTCTAATTACAGTAAGAACCTCTTGACCCCCCACATTAAACATTTAAGTAGAACTTTTAGCATTCTTATTAAAAGAATTTCCCCAAGAGATCTTGTTTGCTGTGCTGCCTTTTTAAAGATACAGCACTGGTTATTTTATGGGTTATTTTATGGTTCTTCTGAGCAGAAAGAAACTCTAGGGAGCCCAATTCATGAAACCCCCAATACGGTAAAAGAAATTGCCTCTAGAAAAGTTTGATCTTAATTTAAAACACACACACAATTTTGACCATAACGCTGGTTAAGATTGTTAGGATTCTTAATAGAGCTTCTGAGATCATGATAAAATTCTATTTTGCATTCTGGAAGTAAGGAATACCTTTACAAGAGAAACCTTCTTCATTTTATAATTATTCAAAGACAACGTGGATTTAAAAAAAAAATAGTGTAACCCAAACCTATTCACTTTTTAAAGAATGATTATTGTCCATAGTGCTATTGTGCTGTGTTCATTATATCTCTAATGCAAATGAAACCGATGGCAAATATTCTATTTAAAACTATTTTCTCTGAACATAAAACTTTCATTAAAAACATCCAAATTTATATTTATTAATCAGCAGAAATGTTTACATTGGAAGTATATTAATGCAGCAGTAGAAATAAAAACTTAGTGACTGAAACTAGATGCATTCAAACTTTCTTGATTGAACTAGGCCCAGTTTCTTGGCCTTTAAACTCAAAAATTACAAACATTTGCTATTTCCTTCTGCAACAGCACACACATTAGTACCCTAAAAACTGATCAAATTCAAAGCAGCAGGAATAGCAGGAGTTAAGTCATAAATAAAAATATGTTAAGCATGTTTGCTAAACAGTGCTATTGCCATTTAATCTGCAGGGGCAAAACATATTTTCTTTCTTTCTGCTATTAAAGTTCTTCACTCTCAAAAAGTCCGGACTGTGTTGCCAAACGTTGGTATTCTCCTTCATCAGGAAAAAAAGCCCGTTTCACGTTCACACCTTTCCCATTAAGTGCCAAATACTTGCTAAAAGTTGGTCGAACCTTCAGCGGCTTTGGATTTGGAAGTGGCTTGTACGTGTGGGCTGAAAAAGAAAATGAATAGAAACCATTCAAACTGCCCTGCAAAGAGAAGGAACTACAAGAGGCTACAGCACTAAGCTCGTATGTTAATACACACACGGTCTGAATGAGTTTTACTGTGGTGTTAAGAGCGCGGTGGCTCACGTGGTTAGGACATTGGGTTGACAATTTGCAAGCCTATGTTCAAAGCCCGAGTGCTGTTGTGTGATACAGTGAGCTCCCATCATTTGCTCCAGTTCCTGCTGATCTAGCAGTTTGAAAGTGTGCAAGTGCAAGTACATAAATAGATATCACTTTGGTGGGCTCATTAACATGGACATGAAAGGAGCATCCCCCGGGCATTCCTTTTATCATGGACATGCTTCTGTGCTTCTGACATAGAACAATAGTATACCATGGTGTTATTTGGTTCTACTATATCACTTTTATTCTTCTAACCCAGCCAAGATAACCCAAAGTAGATGATTTGCAAACATTCGTGTAATTTAGCCAGGGAATATATAGCTGAATTGTTGCATTCCCCTAGGTATAAGGAAATGTACATTCAATCAGCAGAAAAAAAGCACTTACTAGCCACATCCAATCTGGCATGACATGTTGCCACTCCTGCCTCATTGACTGCAGATACTGTGTACCAACCAGCATCTTTCTTATTTACATCGTGGATCAGCAAGCAAATCTTGCCAGCAGCATCATGAAACATGCTACAAAATGGAGGAAAAACAAAATTACCTTAGCTGGACCTGACTAAAAACGGTTACTTTTAATTAGAGTATATTTAATATATGTAACAAATTTTTGTTAAACATTTTTCATTGCCCAATACATGTTTTTTACTACTGACCACAGCCCAAGGGCACTGCTCTCTAGCGTCCTATTATATAAAACAGATCTCATGTTGAGATCCATCTTCTTCATCCCAAATTCAACAATTTCCAGTATTCTGCAATTGCATCCTATGGATGCAACCTCTCCGAACGAATTCCTCTCCTCTGTCCTCACTACTGTGCACAAGGCAGATACGCTTTCCCATATCTTTTTGCAAGATAAATCATCCAGTAGCAAAATTCCATTATTATTACTGCTGTTGCCACTCCCCATAATAAACATGAAATAGACAGGAAGGAGCTGACAGACATCATTTTATTTTATTAAATTTACAGGCTGTCTGACTCCAAATGACTGGGCAGCTTACACTTAAAAAAAAACCCCAGTAAAATAAAAGTAACTTTGTCCTAATTTTCATTTTAAAAGTTCTTAATTTTAATAAGCTATGTTTCCTAAACACTGACTGCATCACTCTTGGCAGAGAAGCAAGATCAGAAACTTATATCTTGGCCATAGGGTGCTGGATGGGAAGGCAATATGAGGCAGTGGAAAAGGTGATGCTTATTAGTTTTCCTCCAATGAATGGCATAATGACAGTAACATCTGTAGTCCTTTAACTGGGCTCTGCCACAGGGAACTTATCTTTACTTCTAATCAGCTAAAAGCAAATCCAGCAGAAATGTCCTTACCTGATTCTATCTGTATTGAACTGTACCATTTCATTATTTCTTTTCCAGTATATTTGTGGTGGGGGGATAGCAGACACTTGGCACTCAAGTCTAGCTGAATCCCCCTCATAAACTTTTGTGCTTTGTGCTTTAGACATGAAAGCTGGTGCTTTCCGATGTTCTTTTGCTACAGATTTTAATAAAGAAACACAAGGAGTCAGATTGTTTTAAGAAACAAAACTGAAAGCAAACCACATATTCATGAAATAGTAAAAGCGAATACCAGTAAAAAAAACAAACCAGTTAAGTTAACTGACATTGACATGATTGAAAACGACTCTTTTCTAAAACTGAATAGTGGCTCACTACGTGTGGTAGCCTCAGCTCCAAATTATCTCAGGAGAGCCTACACCGCATATCAGATTTATGCCAGTGTTGGCTATGGTTCCAACAAACATTGCAATGACGCTTACATCATCACTAAGAATAGAGCAGGAATAGAAAATTTTTCAGACATTGCAAATCTTCCATTTCTAGCAGATCCAGCTGAAATGGATGATGGAGCAACATCATGAGGGCTAAATTCTCCACCTTTAGAATTTTTATCTTATAGATAACCCTCCCTACAGGTAGTCCTTGTTTTGTGACCATTTGCAGTTACGACTATGATTTAAAAAGTAATTTCCTTGCACGTATGAACTTCGTAGATATGTAAAGCAAAAAAAAAGCAGAATTAAGATCAAACACACTTGTGGCTTCAGTTAGCAAGTGCTTTGCTTAATGACTTAGCTGTCAGTTCAAATTGTGGTAGCCAAATGAGACACTGACATTCTGTAGATTGCAGCAGACATTATGGCCATAAAGGCAACTGGACACCAGGTACGGACTGCCCAAAATCATCTCTGGACCAAGGTGAGCTCTTGAGATTACCCACACATTATGTACTCCAGACAACTGGTGTTTTGTGAGTAGATAGCAGAAATTTATGTTTTTGTGGTCTCTTGCAATCAACTGGGAGTTTCAGGATTGGGATTTCGCCAGCCTCAGAGCTGTTAATGTAGTCTTTTCATGTACTTAAGACTCGACCAAATCTTGTCTTTTTAATCACTCTGCAGTTTTTTAAATTGTTATATTAAAAAAATCTTTGAAACCACAAGTTTGCTGAGTACGTTCTTCAATCAATTCAGAAAGAAAATTTCTTGTTTAAAGTTTTGTAAGAATTTCTTGGAATATGCAGCAAAAGGGTGACTATAGCACTGATCTCATAAAGTTTTAATTAGATTAAGAGTTCAGATGGATTTGAAAAAAAGACTTTGAGGTTAATTGAGAAGATCCTCTCCTGTGAGAAAATTATCTTTATATTTTGAGTTGATAAGATTACTTTGAAGGTTGGACACTAGAGGGCACCAGATTGCTAGCTTATAAGAAATGTTTCCCGTTTGGGTGCTAAGGGTTTTTGGAGTTATTTAAAAAGGTGTTATTGAAGAGAAACAAGCCCTATTGAAATAAAACTAAAATAGACTTTAAGATGGATTCAAAAATTACAACCCACAAGAAAGAAATGAAAAGTCCATCCTAATGGGACTTGATGATTTAAAAACAACAAAAAAAGTTTTCAAATAATAAATCAAGACTCATGTAGATTATTTTCTTATATTGGATCACAATATATCATCTGGCAAAGATGACAAAAAATTTGACAGCAGAGACAAAGAAACTGGGAAAAGAAATGTTAGAATTTTCTTTGTGGGACTGAACATTACTGGGAGAAAGAAAAAAATACAAAATTGTGTTATGTGATCACAGTAAAAATAAGGATTGGCTTACGGGTGCCTAATGATTTTTTGACGGGGATTGGATGATAATAGTTATTTGTGATAATGTACTGAATTGATTTTTACATCTCATATTGTTATTGTTGATAATATATATATATATATATATAATTGGTTACTATGTCTGGTGACATCTAATTTTTTTTATTGGGATTGGATGATGATGGTTACTTTTGTTAATGTTTATTTTATTGGGACTGGACTTTGATCATTTGAAGAAAAGGACTAGGAGGAATTTGTTTTAATGGAAATGGAGATATAAATACTTTAGCTGTTAT